GATTAGTGAAGAGTTTGAAGCTGATGATTTTTAAAACGTGGATGAAGGCTGTGCTCGCGTAGGAGACGTTAAATGATACCTGCAAGCCAGTACCTTCTTCCAAAGCCTGCTGCCGCCTTTCAGGCTGCTCCTCACGCTGTACATCACATCTAGCTGTCACTTGAAGCCCAGCCTGGATCAGTTCTGCACTCAGTAACTACAGATGCCTTGTTTCCCCATTGAAACTACATATACTTGCCACAGTGGTGTGTTTTTCTATGACCTGAAGTGATGCAAAATGTGTTGGTTCACTCCCGGGCAGTCAATACCGCTTCAAAAATAACAGCGTAACATGCTCCCTCCAAGCCATCACGTGTTCCAGGGCATGGGACACCTAAAGACTTCTCAAGGGACTTTTGTTCCATGCTGTTTCAATTCCGCAGCCAGGGACCAGCTGACGAGACAGGAAATAAGGGTGCGGGTACTCTCAAGTATTTCGGTACCTTCACCGGGAAAAAGGCCGGGAGCTAATCCCTAGAATACACTGGGTGAAAAAACCATTAGAGAAAACACAGTTCACATGTACGTAGAAGGGTTTCAAAATTTAATAAGTTGACACAGTGAACAATTCAGGGATCTTTAAAATGTGAGAGTTAAGAAAGTTTAGGTCACACATTTAGAAAAAGACATTTCTTGTATAACAAAGAGAGAAAACCAAACACATTTGCTCTGGTAAAAAACCAGCAATGCTGGTCCCTGCTTGAAGTGAGAATGCTGTAACAGAACTTTTTAAAAAAGAAGCACCTGGAATTACACAACCAGTTTTGAACTGCTCACACCGTCATTTCTTCTCGTAGCAGCCTACCACGTTGCTCTACAGTAAACAAGTCAGGCAGAGGCCAGTCCAGTGATAACATCAACACAGTTGTCTCCTGTAGGCAGAGTTCAGAGCCTCAAGTGTCAGTAAGCAAAGCAGTTTGATATACGCTCACCTTCCTTCTCCTGACAAGAAGAAACCACTTACACCACGAAACAAAGAAAATTGTCATGATACTCCAAACAAAGTCACAGTAACAGGAAAAAGAAAGCAAAATACATTCTAAGGAAGATTCGTTCGAGCTAAGCATCGCTTTTTATTCCAACCAAAGGGAGATTCTAGCGGCGGAGGAACAGAGTCAGGCCGCCGGATCAGGCTGACAGTGCCCCCTCACCTCAAGGCTGACATTTGCTATCTGCAGCAAGTGCCCAATGACAGCACGTGTGGGTAACAAGCAGAAAACAATTTCAGGCTCCTCCGTCACCGGACAGAACTTCGGGCAGAGCTTTTGCGCCCGTGAACGGTCACCCGTTACTCTGCAGGTACCTATCCAGGAACTGGGAATAGCAGTCTAGAGAACAGAAGTAGCAGATGATGGGTGCTTCCGTACCTCCCATGTTATCCACGAGGACCACGGTGTGAGCTACGTGATGGAGATTCATGGTCACCGTGATTTGAATGAAGCTGCTCAGACAGGCACTTCGACACTGGCATGTTTTAGCCACTTCCAGATCTTCACAAAGGTGAGAAGGAAGGAGATGACAACCATAAGGGATTCTGTTGAACAAGAGGAGTACGTGTGAATTCACTACAAAATTAACCAATGTCACTCAAACGCAGTGACACGCCATATGCACCAGTTGGAAGAAACGCCCTTCTGGGATCACAGACAACGCAAATCTGAAATTTTGCCACTTGCAATGTTGGCCTGGTTAGGAATTAAACGCCACTTTCCAAGACAGTCACTAAAAACATGCAGCCGTGTTACTGACCCCCAAGTAGCGAGGCCCTGAACTCCAGAAGACACTGCAATGAGAAGTAGGGAGCTCACACAAATTGTAACAGCCTGTATCACAGCCATAGAGAATTAGAGAGAGAGAGAATTACAAAGATGATCAAGAATAATGAGACAACTGGGTACATATCTGCTCTTCCCTCACATTATCCAGGATGATCACCGTATTTCATCCTGGTCTGATAAGGCACCCACAATTTATTCCTCGCTCTCTAACATGAAGAAGTGGTAGTAGCGTAAAAACACTGTATCCAGAGGAAACGGGAGAGAAAATGAGCCTTTTTACAGTAGTACTAACGTTGCAGACAATAAATTAGGGTTCTCTTGATACACCGCTCCCTGCGTCCATCACGTCAATAATGACATTCAGTGACAGGAACAAGAATTGCTTCTTTTAAAATTCGCAGCAGAGTGGCATTGTGTTTGGGGTACAAACCAAATAATTTCCCTGAAGTCCTTTGTCAAGTTAACTTCAAAGTGTGGGTATCGCCAGTGCCCAGCTGTCACTCGAGACTCCCAGAATAGGTCTCACTGACTCACATCCCGACTACACCTACATATTCCCAATTCTTTCTCCATACCATCATTCACATAGCTAAGACTCCTGTGGGTTTTTTTTTCACCACTTCAATTTTGGGACATCCTTTTTTCCGGTCAGGACAAGCATAATCACAGCTCTGGTACTTGCCCAGCATGCCACTGTGAAGATTGATTTCCAAACATTTGCTTTCCTGTCTTTCCTCCTTCTGTTTTCTTCCTTTCTCGAGGTTTTTATAGCCCATCATCACTCCTGTTTCCCATTCTTTGTTAATTCTCACCTCCAGTGAATGTCAGACGGAATGTCTGTTGCCCACTTGTTAGATTTTTTTCTTTTCCATTTAAGATAATCAGGACTGCTCTGACCAACGCTGTCTCCTAATAATCACAGACCCGTGGGCAAGGGGACTGTTTCCACTGCCCCTTGTCCCACCGAGACTCCTGGAGCAGAAAGCCTTTTTTGTTCTGTGTGGTGCCGGTTTTTTTAAAGCCTGCTGCATGGGGGCCAGGGGCTGGGTTAACGACTAGGTATCCTTAGGTACTCCGGTAATGTAACTGAGCACCAAAATCTGACCAGTTGAGGGATTCTGTTGGCTAGAAAAAAAACATGCCTTAATATTTATATCAAAACCACTGCAATTTATATCAAGTTGGGAAAGGAGACACGTGGAGTTTAATTACTCTAATAAAATCAGCAAGGTCAGACGCAGATAAGATTTGAACCAGAACATTTGGTTGCTCAGCTCATTTCCAGGGTGTGCCCTGCATGCCTGTGGACACCTTTAGCACAGACTTCCGAGCAATTAACCCAGGTTTACGGGGCGCTCCCCACCCCCAAGGCAGGAATGGGCACATAACATAGATTAGGAACACTTCAAGTCTGTCTCTCGCCCCTTTCTGTACCCGTGACTCTATTCCGTCTTCTTGCTCCCTTTCCACCCAGAACGGGGTGGGAGTAGCAGCAGCTGGTACTGGAAGGATCACAGGCAGAGCTGTGTAAGCGGTGTGAGGGAAGGGGAGAGAACTGATGACAAAGCAGCAGCCCGGCAAGGATAATGATTACTTGGTGAAATAATAATTTTAAAATTACCTCAGAACCGGGCTTCTCCGCATAGGCCAGAACACCCTCGCTCCAACACCAAGGGAAATTAACAGCTCAAGGAAAACCTAAGGTAGGGAGAAGCCTGCAGCAGGTAATGCCAACTACAGCGTGACGCTTCCCCTCTGAGATGCCACCTCGCGGTACCTTTCTAACACTACTCAGCTTGCGTAAGGTCCCATCTCAAGCGGAGGCAGGCCGATCCATGTCTGTAACTAGGAGCTGTATGGTAGAAGGTAACCTTTCGCCAACTCGCTATCCTCGCACGGGAAGGGACAGCGACAGGCTAATGGGTATTACACACAGTTTTAGTGTACTTTAATGTGAGCGCAAGATGAAGGGCAACCACGTTTGAAAGCCATTTCCAAGCTAGAGCCCGACACAAAATACGATCAGTGCCACAAAATCCGCTGTAATGTAAGCTCCTCAATACAAAATGCCAGAAGTGGTTCAGGGCTGTAGAACTGATTCTCTTTTCCCATGCTTGGGCAAGAATATTCTGTTACGGTACCCCCGTTTTGTGGATAAAAACATTTCAACCTATAGCTTTCGCTAAGTGCTTCCAGGTCACCAATTTACTGCATTATCCTGTATAACAAAGGAACTATTTCACAAGTGGAATTCAAAGCAACTTTAACCTTGTGATTTTTAATAGGTGAGGAGCAATAGCCACTGACAGGAAAAAAAAAAACAAGTCAGGAAAGTTTAGACTCGACAGGTTTGAAACGGAGTAGGTGCAATGTGTTACCCACCATGCTACTCTTACCTGTAATTTACGGTTGCTCTTGCAGCACACTCTAATAAAGTCAATGGTATTTTCAGTTGTATGTTGGGGACAAGCGGATTCGGCTGTTCAAAAGGATTTCCAAAGAGATCCAAGTTCTCAAGACAGAGTTTCCTAAAGTCACTGGGCAAGAAAGGAAGTTTGTTTCGAGCTGCTGACAGAAAGCGTAGATGATCTAACTGGCCAATCTTGAATGGCAACCTAATCAACTCATTGTCATCGAGCTTTAAATTAACGAGTTCTCGCAGCTGGCAGAACTGAATTGGAAGTGCTTTAATTTTGTTTTGGCTGAGGTCCAAGAACTGAAGAGATTTCTGAAGGGTGGAGTTGCACAGAGCCCCACTGAAGGACTCCAGGTGATTGTCATGCAAATTAAGCTCCTGAAGACAGATCAGGTCACCAATAGTAGCTGGCAGCTGCTTAATATGATTATGACTTAGGTCTAGTTTTCGCAGTTTCTTCAAACAAAGCACACGTGTGTCGATCCGAGCAAGTTTGCAGTACGAGGCTTGGAGATGTTCGAGAGAGTAAGGAAAGTTTTTGGTGAGAGGATAGTCCCTTCTTGAAGTTATGATCATTTTTGTCTTAGGTTTTTCAACTTCCGAGGTCTTCGCTGGTACCAGAGCTGAGAGCGGGAGAGCTCCTGTGTCGGTCCCTTGGTGAGCCAGTCTCACAGCTGAAAGGAAATTCTTTAAATTGCTGGCATTTGCCTGCAGGAAAACACAAATGTGGAATTAAAAGTTCATTATTCTTGTGCTCATTCATACTAACACTTTCTGAACTATTTTGTACATGTATCAGGAGATACTAACTCAGCAGGGCAATGAAATGGGAAAGGGAAACAACTCCGGCTTATGAGGTTGACGTGCTGTTTACAGTATTTAAGAACAAATGGCATGCAATTTGAATGAGAAGTTACGACCTCTGAATAATCTAGATCAAACGAACTGCGTTGCATTACTCAGAAAAGGAACAAAGCACTGAATTCACAGCTGAAAATAAAGTACAGAAAAAAAGCCTGATGCACTGTGATCTTCCTAACCTGCAACACGATGAAGAGACAGTTTATAAAAACACAGGCGGGGAAATCGGAGATCTAAAACTTGGGGCAATCACTTCTGAAAGTTGCGAGGAAGGAAACGGATGGAAGCTGAGGTTAACTGTAACATAAAGGAAGGTGGAAAGCTTCAAGCCAGGTTAAGTAAGTGCTTCTGGTCACACGCAGCTCTGTTTGGTTGTGCCAGCATCGAACAAGAGGATAGTTATTTGCAGTCCTGCAAACTACTGACTAATTTTGCTTTAGGTGGGGTATAATATAATGGCAGTAAGGACAGAGTCTCAAACTAATGGAATATCAGATGACCTGTATTTTAAATAAAGGCCAAGAAAGCTGTGATACATTTGTTGTACTGATATAATTAAGTTTTATGAATAACAGGGTGACCAAATGTTTCTCTTCGAAATTTCCCAGCAAGTCTCTACTCAAGCTGACATGCAGCTGACAGACACTAAGCTATAAAGTGAATTATAAAGTAAAAAGCACGGTGCATCCATACAAGTAGAAGTCATCTCTCACGGCAGGAAAGAACAAGCCTGGAGTTTTGGCATGGCTCTGAGAGTCGAGAGGTTTGCACTCTGTTCCCAGCTGTAACTTGCCCAAGCCTAGTGACACCCATTTCTGCACCTGAAAGACAATTTTGCTCCTAAATGTATTTGTTTATACCAAATTCTACAGCGTCCAGAACTAGATCACATAATACGCTATTAAGCATCTAGCACAACAGAGCAATGATCTTGGAGACTTCTGGATGCTAAATGTGGTCTAAGTAAAGACAATAAAGGTCAAACATATTTGACTGCATCAGTAACCTAAAATGATTGTTCTCCTTAAGCATCCCACGCACATCTATTCTTTCAACTCCCGACGTGATACCCTCCAGACACGGGGCAGCTGCATGCCAAAACCCTCTGTATCCAAGACCACCAACATTCATTATCTCAGCCAATCTAACTAAAACATTTAGCTGTGGGACTCCCCGTAACTACAGGCAGATTTGTCATGTTTCCGAGGGTAATAAATAGCTAACTAAATTTGGAATTAAGGAGAAAAAGTCCCCCCGATCTGTAAAGATCAAGTAAAATACATAACTATACATTAGAATTGAGTTACAGGCAATATTTCTTTGATCTCAAAGCATGAGAGGCAACAGATACCTGTTTCTTGTAGCCAAAAGCTCTAGGTTGTTAAGAATAAGTTTGTGGGCTGTTCACATGCCTTCAAAATAAGAGTACTTTCTGTTTTGGATCCTTGAGACAAATTTCCTCCACAATAGCTTCGTAAAGGCAATGTAGTATCTGTAAACCCTGCTGTTGAGAAACCTTGAGTATGTTGAGAAAAATACTAAGACACATCTAAGAAAAAAAAGCGAAGAATTAGTTGGAAGAGCTCAGGACACAATTTTCTGCCCCAAGTCTGAAGTCTCAACGGCAGAAGAGATGTCGGGAAAAGAGGTTAATCTGCGTTGGTGCCTTACACATCCCTTGTTTCAGAACTAAATGAATGATGACAAGGCAATCAGAGATTACATGGATTTCCGACCTTGCGTGCAATGCAGCAGGCACAGGCTTGCTGAAGGGAAAAAAAACCCAAACAACCCCACAGTGACTTTAGTATTTTTGCTCCAGGGTTGAATGCTCCAGACCGATGTTTCTCAACTCAATTTCTGATGTGGCTGAATGCAGCAAATCGCACCGCCTGGCAGAGTACAAAGAGTGGGGTTTTGCACGGTAGTTGCACACAATCGGTATAGTCATACCTGGAAATCTCTTTCCCACACAGCTTTTGTCCACCTTTGAGGGTTAAGAAGCCTTTCTCTAATGAAATTATGAAAGACTAGCAGAAACACTACAGAAAAGTCATTTTAAATTGGGTTTCCGGGTTTGGAGCATTTAAGAGGAACATAGAGTATCACTGGCTTCGGAAGAATTCAGTGGATTTGTTCCCGAAGCTTGACAGTATGAGGGCAAGCCTTATGCTAAAAATGGGGAGCGAGGACCTAGCCTCCTTAGAGCAACTCTGGTCATTATTCTAACTCCTGTTTAATTAGATTCAGTCGAGACCTTCTTTTCAGTCTAACACCATCATGGACTATCTTCTCATACAGAAAACAACAGATGTAGTTCTTAACTAAATTACTACCCACACTGAAAGAATGTCTGTCACGCCGTTTCCTTACAGGCCCTGTAAGTGGTCTAAATCAGATCTTGTAGCACTAAGACACAGACCTTTGCTCTCTAATTTTATACTACTAGTAGATCCTCTTACAACAGGCCCGCTTTTTGTACCTTTGTTCCGAGATAAAAATTTTTTGACTTCTCACACATCGGCAGAAACGTTCAGAGTAAAGGATGTAGAACCAGAAGTTATTCTGGAACTAATGCAACGTGCATGAGTTTTCTTGTTTGCAAGATACATAGCACATTTGCTTCTGACAAGAAAAACTGAATTTAATTGGATTTGGACACACGCTGCTGCTTTTCTATTTATCCCTGTAAGGCGAACTGCTCTCTTCGTCAAATTAAGGCTGCTTTCCTTACCACCACAGCCTTCACTCTTGCACAGACAAGAGTGGTATTTCCAGATCACCATAGCACTGTGCCACATTCCGCAAAATCTTGGGCTACCACAGCTATATTCCGTTATCGGTCTTATTCCCAATAAAATAAGCGCTTTTTCTTTCTTTCTGGGACATACTTGTTTTCTTTTCAGTAAGTCACCGTCCCGAGTACAGACTCATTCACCTTGTTTCTCAAGCAGACCTCACAGCCTGCCCCGAGCTCCGCTCCACTGTGGCGAGACTCTTGTCAGTGCCCGTTGCAGCTGCAGTTTAAACGCACCCCGTGCACTTCTCCTTTGCGAAAGCGTACTGCTTGTGAAGGAGTAAGCTTCCCCACTCATGATTACAGCTGCTCAGTCTGACATCACCAAAATTCTTCAAGGATTCTCCTTCAGGCCAAAGAATCACAGTTGCAACAGAAAGTCAAAATGATTTTCCAAGCAAGCAATCGATATTATTTGCTTTTATTTACACATCCTAACTCCAAGGTTTTAGAAAAGCTGTCCTGCTTTCCTCTTCTACAAGGCTACAAAAGATTACTGGAACGGGCACAGAAGAAAAACTTAACAACATAAAAATTGAACGTATGTGTGATATTTTTGGTGAGTTTAGTGTTATTAAAAACACTTTACAGCTTCCAAATATTCCACGAACTGTAACTAAATACATTGGTGAGCCCTACTATCAGCTAAGCATTAAGGCGAGATGGTGCCTGTACCGCTGATCCATACCACGTGTCTCCAGCTTTGAAAACCACAGTGGGCACGCTGCTTGTCCACCAAGACAAGAGTATTCTCCATTTTTTTTTCATTAGAAAGACTGCAAGCAATAACCGTTTCGCAGAATTTATGGCCAAAGACCAAGATATTGTACAGGGAGATGAAAAAAGTTGTTTCTCTCTAAACAGGAGATGAAGAACAACACGAAAAATGGACTTTTCCGCTCCTGCTGTTTCTCCGGAGGGAGCAGAAGAAGGGAGAATCACAACACAGCCCAGCAAAGAAGCTGGGCTCAGCCTTCCTGGCACAAAATGAGCGAGCTCCCTCATACTTCCCTTTCTGCTGTAGCCTGTTGAGGACATACAAAGCCAAGCTCCTTCACGCTGCCTCGCTCACGTCCCCTACGCCAACGCTGCGGGCAGGGCGAAGACGACTGTTAAGACGAGACTGGGTCGCAGCGTGGCACTTGTCAGAGGGACCCCAAGCAGACAGCCGGGGGACCCACTGGGGCCCGTCCAGCACCCCGGCGAGCCGCCCTGCCGCCTCCACACGCCGCTCGGTTTCGAGCACGGGCAGAGCACCGAGACCTCGG